TCACATAGGAATGTTTATAACATGTTTATTTGATGGTGCTCTAATTTCACATAGGAATGTTTATAACATGTTTATTTGATGATGCTCTAATTTCATGGTTGTTAGGTTGTCATAACTTTTGAAGCTTCATAATATGTTGTTTTTCATTTTTTCACATCCTTTGTTATACTGATTAATTAACAAGATTTTTAACTTAATGTAATGTTCTTCATAAATTATTTGTTTTACATGGCAGTCATGGATTCAAGTTTTGACCACAGTATATATATTTTTAATTAATTAATGACCATTAGAAGATTCCACACACTATTTTAACTGAAGGTATTTGGTAATTATGTGTAAGTCTTTGCAATGCTTATTGGACATTGTATGTTTTTCAAAGTTTATAACTTTAGTTATTACTAACTGTTTACACATGATAGTATCTTTTCCATGTAATAATCAGATATTGGAGACTAAATTTGTCACACGTGGAAACTTGGTTGATTAATGATAGAAAAAGTTATTGGATCAAAGAGGTTTACAAAATAATATAAACTTATTATATGAATGATTTTTTTTGTTTTTTAACCCTATAGCTTTTGATGAAATTGTTTGAACCTTTCTCTGTTTTAAACTTAATTTTGTTGGGTGTGTCACTAAAAAGACTTTTCACATTTATTCACCCAGACTTTTAAATCGTTGCGAAAATATGTGAAACCTTACAAGTTTGTGAATTCTACAATGAAGCACATATGAATCTACATAAAATCTAGTTTACTTATTATGGACGTATGTAATATCTTAACATCTATATCTTTAATTCAGATTTACTACAAAATGCTACATCATTAGCCAGGAAAAACATGTGTGAAGTCAAAGAATTTAAAAACCAAACTCAGTTTAGTATGTTTTATATTGAAGGTTTATTCAGCTAGAATTTCATTAATTTTGAGTATAGGGACAAACTCTTTTGTGTCCTGTGTTTTAATACTTATTTACATCATGAAGTATCGTGTTTCTAAATATTCTACTTTGTTGTGTCCTGTGTTTTAATACTTAGTTACGTCATGAAGTATCGTGTTTCAAAATATTCTGCTCTGTTGTGTCCTATGTTTTAATACTTATTTACATCATGAAGTATCGTGTTTCAAAATATTCTGCTCTGTTGTGTCCTATGTTTTAATACTTATTTACATCATGAATTATTGTGTCTCAAAACATTGTACTCTGTTGTGTCCTGTGTTTTAATACTCAGTTACATCATGAAGTATTGTGTTTCAAAATATTCTGCTCTGTTGTGTCCTATGTTTTAATACTTAGTTACATCATTAAGTGTTGTGTTTCTAAATATCCCATTCTGTTGTGTCCTGTGTTTTAATACTTAGTTAGTTACATCATGAAGTGTTGTATTTCAAAGCATTCTTTCAAAAACCAACTTAGAAGAATTCAAAAAAGAAATCAGCAAACAAAAGGAGCCATGTACATGTATTATAATGCTATAAAAGACATGACTGCCAGTTTTTCATTTATGTAAAAGGATTAATTCAAGAGTTTTGGTAAACAGTTTTCCAAATATATTCACATGAAAATACTTTCAGGTATGTGTCATTGTTTTTGCAAATACCTGACTTTTTTCTTGATTGATTACTTATGATATTAGTTCTAAAAAAAGTGATAAAACTTTGGAGTAATTTAATTTATTGGAACTAAAACAAAAAGGAAAATGTTTAGTGAATATTTGTAGTGAATTTGTTGTTTTATTATAGGCTCCAATTACGATCACAGATCAGACTCCTGTAGAAACAGTCATTGACATGTTTTGTAAGTTGGGATTAAGACAAGTTCTAGTTATTCATAATGGGTAAGACTCTTAGTTTTTTCTGCACTCTAACCAAAGCCACAGTTTATGGCATGTATTTGCTATATTAAAATTTTTAAACTTTCTCTAGAATTTAAAATTGTATCCAGAAGTTTTCATAAGGTAATACTAATCATTTCATTTAAGTTGGATTTATGTAAAATGTACATTCGTAAGTAAAACTGATAAGGCTAGGTTTACATTTATATTAGGAACTGTTTAGGTTTTTACAAATTTGTTAATATTAGTACAGTAGATGTGACCAATATGTAAAATATCTAGCATAAACAAACATTGGCTTTTGATAGAGGATGGTTTTTAAGTGTATCTATATACTTTTTTTTTGTTTGTGTGTGTGTCTGTATATATATATATATATATATATATAAGGTTTCTGTAATTGACACAGTTATAAACTAATAGCATACAGTATAGTCCAAGAAACATTAGCAAATACAGTATTTTTCTTTAAAAATGACAAATCAGATTCTAGGCTTTATTCAGTTGTGCATAGGCTTTATATGGATGAATAAGTGACTTGACATCTCATAAAAACCAAAAATGTTCAAAATCTTAAGTTTTAATCATGAGTATATATATATATAATTTTCAATGTGATGGACATTCATATTTTGATGAGAACTACATATTAAATTTAAAACCTCTGTAATTGTTTTAAGAAGATAAAACTGACAACAAGTCCATGTCCCTGCTAAATTGGCTGGAAATATCAAACATCACATGCTGTATTTCTTACTTTGTTACTATTACATCAATATCCAGCAAGCCTGTCAAGTGGATGGAAGAATTGATAATTCACATATTTTCCTGGTCTAAAATCCTATGTAATATGACTTAAATTAAGAATGTTGGGCTAAACACCGGAGCCTTCATTAGTTGATAACTGATTATTTGACCAACCTTATGAAACCTTATGTGTGTGATTTTTAAATCTTCTTAATCTCAATTGTTTCTTTTTCAAAAAGTTACAGAAGTGCATAGTAAAGGTGTGAATTTAGTTAAAACTTAATTTCTAGCGTACTCTAACAAATGGCATTAAGATTATAAATTATAAAGACTTGATTGCTTAACAAGTCAAGAATTCTGCTAGTTGCTGTCCAGTAACACTAATGAGATAAGGAGTAATATTTTCAGTAACTTATATGGTTAAAACACTGACATAGGTTGAAAACAGTTCATTTTTATTTGTTGTTCCCCAAAAGATTATAAATGTATCTTTTTACATACAAAAGCCTAATAACCTTTTAGGGAAATAATAAATCATAACTAAGTTATTAAACCAGTAATCCAAGATTTCATGTTTCAGACGACTACTTGGAATTATTACAAAGAAGGATGTTCTGCGGCACATCAAACAACTTGGCAATGAAGATCCAGAATCTGTGTTATTTAACTAAAATAAGAAAGTTATATTTAAAAAAGCTTGTGAATAATTACTGTAGATTCTTAATGGTTGATGATTTGTATATGTGGATTCTGCAACTTTGGTCATCCACTTTTCTGTAATGCTTTTATCATATAGTCACTGTAGTGCAGTCAGTAGAAATCTTGTCATTTGATAAAGGGAAAGCTTGTCCGCTGGATGTGACATATGCTGTAGATTTTCTGAAGTTTTTCACATACGGGTTTTTAGTTTACTGCTGTATGTTATGCTATATGTGGAGAGTTTTTACAGCTGGAAACATGCTCATTATGAAGTGCAAAACAACTAAGAATTATGTACGAAGATGTGAATAAAGGTAACTCTCACTTTATGTTGCTTATGTTTAATATTTATGTTTTAAGTAACATTACTCTTTTGAAAAAAAAGGCTTCTATCTTATTAAAGCCTACATGTTGAAATATTTCACATTGTGTTATATTTTTTATTCTGTTATAGATGTCTTGTTTTTTTCATATCACAGTACTCTGAAAATATTGTAACCCAGATACAACCATTGGTATCAAACTAGTTTACTTTTCTACAAGATGTTTGGTTCTTGAATTTATTACATTGCAATCAAGACAATGAATACTGTGAAAGATATACAGTGAATTCCTACATTTAAAATAACTCATTAAAAACATCGAACAGACACAAATGATTTTGCCCCTTGTGTGCATCTATTTTAAATTAGACTATACGTATATACATATATATATATATATATATATATATATATATATATACTACTCGTGTGTTGTTTGGTCTCTACTTAGTTATTAGTTGTGTCTTACGTTTAGTTAATAATAGAACGTAAATATACTAACC